ATCCCTTTGTTTTGAGTAGCTCAGTGAAAGAATTAGATTTGTTTAGGAACAGAGAGCAGTGAAACCTTATCATTGTTTTAAAACATTTTTGTTGTTAAACTGTTCATTTCTTGATTTGGGACACAGAAGTCTCATTTATCCCTGTATTTGTCCTTGGTGTTAAAGTGAACTGCACTAAGGCTGGCAACATACCTGTGCAGTCACCCCTTGTTTTGAAATAAACTAAACTTATCCTTCTTTGAAAGCAGCTTTTGTAACTTGTGTTCTCTTAAAAGAGTTGGGTCTAATGCAGTTGGTACTTGCTTGGATTTAATTTTAGGAGCAAGAGACTTCTTTGCGTTTCCTTATGTTGCTCCCCAGCCAGCAGTTCCAAAGAGCCCTTGTGTTGAATAGTTGTGTTGGAAACCATGTCATTGAAGTGGTGGCTTAACTTGACAACTTCAGCTTCACATGTAACAGCACATGGTGTATCTCTGCTGGAGCACACCTGCTGGCTGGTTCATCTCGGGAGGTTCCTTTTGGGTGTTCCCCATAAGAAATGGCCTCGGGCTTGTCTTGTGTGGTAGAAATTTAATGGTGGAAGTTGTTATGTCAGGGTGCTTTTAGCAGACGTGGTGTTCAGTGCTGCTGGATGAAAGGCTGAGCTTTGGTTGGCAGCACAGCTTTATGTTAACAAAACATGGTGGTTTCCTTAACAATATTCCTTGAAATACAGAGAAGCCCATGCAGGTGGCCTTACATGCAGTGGTATAAACATGAACAGATCTCTGCCATGATCCTGCAGCATCTCGTTCATGTCTCTGGTGAGTTTTTGGTTCTCTGTCTGTAGTTAAAATGAAGCTCCTGCTGCTAACCTGTGTTTTTCCTTTCCTGGGTTGGATGCTAAACACAGCTACACCTTACAAAATTTGAAGTGCATTATAACCAAGTTCAGAAAAAGCTGGATTTCCTTGTCTGGTGGTGCTGGGACAGCAGAGGTATCTCAAGTTTGAGCAGCAAATGGTAATTTTAACAGAAGGCCTCTAGTTTTCTATGGCATGCGCTGCTGGCATGCCTCGGTGTAGAGGCTGTTTGGGGTGGTGGCTGCCTGAGCTTTGCAGGAATGATGCCAGGTGCTCTTTCTGAAGGCATGGTTCATGGAGCTCCTGTTCCAGGAGCAGGCAGGTCACTGGGAAGAAAGGGTGCATATCGCAGTGAGACCTCTTCAAAGTGAGAAGCTATAGTGTGGCTCCTTCCGGGTAGCTTTGGGGGAAGTTGAGGTGGGTTTTGCTTGTCAGTTCTTTCCCCTCTAGCCTTCTGCAGGATTGCAGCCGAAGGAAGGTGTGCAGGGAACAAAAGGCTGAAATAACTGATTTTATTTTAGCTGCCTTCTTTCTCTGGCAGTCAAGAAAAATAAATAACTCTTCAAAGGGTGTTTTTGGCAGGACAAGCAGAATTTCTAGAGACAGAAGTCTCAACTCGTTGCAAAAAAGGGCTGTTAATCTGTGAGAGACACCTGTGTCCTCCAGCGAAGCATCTAAGAACTAATCCCTGTTGGTAACTGGTCACTTAGATTTTCTGTTTGTGGTCTGAAAATAGGAACAGCCTTGTAGCCCTAAAGGGGTTGTGCCTTGCTCTTGCTATCAAAGTGCAGGAGTGGTGGGAGAGTCTCTTCTGCTCTTTGAAACAAAGTCAGTGAAACTATCAAGCTGTGTATCCTGTAAACACTGCTTTCTTGGAATTGCTGCCCAAAAGAGGGCACCTTTGGTGTTACAAAGATGCCTGATGCTGTTCAGCAACTGCAGTTGGTGTTGATGTGCTCAGAGGTTGCAGGTATCTTTGCTGCTCTTGAATGCTGTGCTGAGTGAGAGATGCTGGCTGAAACCACTGTTTCAGCTGTTCAGAGTTTCCCACCCTGTCCCCATTTTCCTGTGGAGTTGCAGGGTAGTGACTGACTGCCAAGACCTGATCTGTTTTCACATTTAGTTTGGCAAAAAATTGCTTTCTAGTGAATGTGAAAACAGCTCTTCATAAGCAATTTTTTTTTTTTTCAGTGAAGAATGTGGGTGGATTCTTGTAGTTCTCTTCAGTTCTGACCCTAGCCTCTTAGTAGCTGCACTACTCTGTTTGTGTGACCTTTCTGTTGAGAACCTCCAGGATTATCAATCTCTAGAACTACCTGAAAGGAGGGTGTAGAGAGGTGGAAGTTGGTCTGTTCAACCAAGTAACAAGTGATCTTAATCATATTTTCCAATCAAGGCTGTGGCCACTGGAGTGGCCTTAGGTAGCTGCTTCTCTGGATGCACTCTCCAAAAATAAACCTAAAGTTATTTTACACTGTTTTGATGAAGTGTGGATGTCCCTGTGTTGACTAATCCAGTTACTATAAGGAAACTTGATTCATATTTCAGGGTATAGTGCTGGTGGGGATCTTTGCAGTCATGGTCTGCAATGTAAATGCTTACATTTACATTGTAAAGGGGTCTACTATGATGGTGGTTGGGTTTTTTGTTTACTTTTTTAGATGTTTATGACTTTGCATATGAGCTGTGTTGTGTTTGTATAAGCTTTCTAGCTGTGTTGCTCTTGAGTTAATTTCCTGTCAAGTGGAGTCTGTTGGAAATTCTCCCTATTTAAGTGACTGGAGGATGGGATGTTCTTCAGGCAGGGTCTCCATCTCTGGCAAATGCTAATCTAAAACTTCAGAACAGTAGTGGGAGAGAAGAAAAAACAGAACAAGCAACCCAGCCCTATAATCGTGTTGACTGGTAGCAGTGCTGTTTCTGGTATGCAGTCAAAGAAGTAGAAATTGTGCTTCTGACAGTTTGATTTAAAAAGCAAATGCAATGAGTAGTGACAAAATATCCAAATACATTGAAGCAAAAATACTTAATGCATTCTAAGTCTCTAAAAGAATCAAATGATAAATTTATATGTGCCCTCTTAAAGAGCAGAGCTAGCAATAACATTTTTAAGCAAGCTTAGAAAAGCCTAAAACCTCCAGTAGCAACACTTTTGCTAATGCAGACCTAGAGCTGAGAGAAATGCTGTTGCTATCAAAAAGTGTGGTATCATCAGCTTTCTCTCTCCCCCTAGAATCTGCATAGGATGTGATGTGAATAAGGAAAAAATGCACTTTTTCTGCTGATGAGAGATTGTATGCTATGAATCACTGTCTAAATAAGATGGCATGAAAAGAAAATTAGAAATCTAGTATGTTTTCTGTGATTCTGGGTATTGATTAATTAAATTAAAAGATCCATCTGTACCTAAATATAATTATAGTCAAGACTTCAGTGGTAGAGGAGAAATCTAAGTTGTCAGATGGAGTAATAGTATTTTCTGGATGTGCAACTGTCCTGTACATCTGCCCCATCTAGTAAAGGCTGCTTGGGAAGGGAGGGGGTCACTCCAGGTGCTACTCTTGCAGTTTCAGCTTGTATGTGCTATGTAAATGGAAATATGTTGATGTTACAGAATTTTATGCCAAGTTTTGTGTTGTCTTGCAATATCCTCTTATGCTTTTTGATGTGGAGGATGAAAAGCTCTTTCTAAACATGTGGTTGTAGCTTTATCTTTTTTTTAACAAAACACAAGTCCTGGAGTTTGTGGCTGTTGTTGCTGCATTCATTTAAACTCTGGCAGTAGTGTTTTAGGCTGTATTGGACAGCAATATTTTGACAACTTCCAGACTAACCAGGTAGTGAAAATAAAAAGACTATTCCATTGATGCAGGCTTGTTTTACACTGGGAAAGATCTTAAGTGTTCATAGAAGATTTGGGATTCTTCAGATATTGGGTAAGTTGCAAGAAAGTGTAATGCAGGCCTCCAAAAATGTTGAGGTACTCTTATTTATGTATCTGGCATTCTCCTATACCCTTTCCCTTTTGAGGATGGTGGTTTTTGTGGTGGACTCTACACCAGCAAAGGTAGGGTGCTCTGTAGGTCCCTTGAAGGGTCTGAAGCAGTTCAGACCAAGAATCCAGCCAGCATTTTGTATCTGTGACCCCGATGAGACATCTGGTTTTCCAGAGTTGAGCCCTGAGGGTGCTGGGGAGGAGGAGGTATTGGTAGCTGAATGGTTTCCAAATGCAGGGAGGATGGGATTGTCTTGCGGCATCTGACTGGTTCTCCTTAGGGTGATTGTCATTTGAAAGCTTTAGTAAAAACACTCATTGTTTGTTAACTGTTTGATTGTTTGTCGTTATAGCTGATGGGGTAGGAGAAAGGCAGGAGTTGAACTGTGCTGGGCTGGAATACTCTAGGTTTGAAAGGAAAACAAAAAGCAAGGGAACAAGGCAGAAGAGGGTTTCCCCTCCCTTTCCATTGGAGTCTCCTTATTTGGCTGTAAGCTGTGCTTTGATTAAAACTATGCATATTAATGCTTTTGGACAGACCCTTGACAGAAGGACAGCTTCAAATGTCTTGAGTGCCCTTGGCTTTCATTGGAGATCATGGCCCTCTGACCAAGGCAGGTGGTCTTGATGTAGGCTGGCAAACTGATATTAATCAGGCTTTGGTTCCCATTGCAGGTTTTCTTTAAACCTTATCTTCACCTGTAAGTATGTGTCTAAATGTTCAGAAAGTGAATAAATATGGGGGCAGCCAGATGTGATAGTGGTGATGAAGTTTGCAGGTTGAAGAACTGCTGAAAGAAGTTACTGTTAAAGTAATGTCAGTGTGTGTGTGGAGTGTGTCTGTCTTTTTAATGTCCAAATTATCTTTTTGACTCGTATGATGAACTGCTTTGCAATTTGCATCTGGTATACACATAGTGTTTCAATGTGGCTGTCTAGTTAAGTTTTTCTCTTGACTTAAGAGTTGTTTTCTGTCATAAGATCCAGAGTAAATCTGATGTACACTTAGCTCTTACATTTCTTGGCAGCTGTTCCTTGGAGTAAGAAACTAAATATTCCATTATCTTGTCAATGTGGTCTAGTTATTTCTTCCACAGAAGCATAAGAAAGCCATAATATTGCTTAATTACTAACAGTCTGGATATTTTTCTCCAACAGGAACTGTTCTTATCAGAAGCAGCAATGGCCAGCTAATGCTAGTATCTCAACAAGCAATAGCACGAACACAGAGTCAGCCACAAAATAACACAAGTGTGAGACCGTCTGTACCAACCAGCACACCTGCAATCAGAATATGTGCTGTGCAGGTAACTTTTCTCATACCTTTAGTTTGAGGTAGCTCTTTGTATTGCAGTTATAACAGGGTTTGCAAATAAGTTACAGTGCATTAAATAAGCATTTGAACACTTTCTGAAGAGCATGATGGTGTCTGGTTTTGCAGATAAACGTCACTATGCTTTGCTTTCTCAGTTTGAATAAACTGCGAGCTGTAGCCTATGGTATAGTTCAAATTAAGGAATTCCTCTCTGATGATGATGGTGGTGTAAAGGGTTTTAAGAAAAAAATGAAGAACAACCCAAAAAAACCTTACCTAAATGGTTGCTGCTAGTAACAGCAACCTTGTGATGCTCTGGTGGGATACTTCTCCAAACCTGAGAGATGCTGAGGACCTTTCCCATGTCCCCAGGGTGTTCTTCCTTCCCTGAGCATTGCTGGCTTTTTGCTTCCATCTCTTTTAGTGTGGTCCGCACACAAGAGGAAGAGCAAGTACAAAAAAAGTAACCATCTGCATGGGTCTTGCCAACATGCTCGTCCTTTAACCATTTTGTTCTGATTAGACATTGTGTCTAAACGTCTCTGAATCTGTTCTTGAGTATAAAACTGATAGACAAATAGCTTTGTTGAACAGTGTTTAAACTATATGGGCTATGTGAATGATGCCTATATTGTTACTGTAAGAGTGGGTGTCTTGGTTTGTATCAGAGCAGGTATAACATCAGTATCTGTTTTGTCATTGACTTACCTGACAACTGTTCTCTGCACCTGTATAATTATATATATATACATATAATTTTTTTTTAAGAACTCTGGCACCCAGTTACTAAAGAAAGCAGCTACTCCTGTGAAAGCGCTGTCTCAGACAACAAATACTGTGGCTTCTGCTGTTCAGCCACCTGCTGTAATACAGGTAGGTGGCAAGCTTTATAGTGTGGTGAAATAAGTGACAGAGAGGACTGGAGAAAATATGGATGCCTTCTTGTTATTTTTAACTCTAATCTCGTTTTCAGTATGCTTGGTAACTTTTGTCCTCACAATAAATTATTTCCTGAATGTCTTTTTTTAAATGCATAATTTAATTACGCTTCTGCCAGTGTGTGTCATCTTCTCTCAGTGCAGTAGAAAGCGCATGAACAATGGATAAAATAAATAGTTCAGAGAGCCATTTCCAGTGCTCTTGTCCCCTGTGACAAGCTCCTTCAAGCCCTAGCTGAAGGTTTTCAAGGAGGTGGAGACTTCCTAATGCTATCTTTTGTTGGGGTTCCCTGATTCCTTAAGGAAAAAAAGTATACTCAAGATGTTGTTGAGGGGAAAATGAGCTGTCTGCACCAGTTAAGCTCGTTTTCATGCGTACGTTTCTTCCTGCCCCCCCCCCAAAAAAAAACCTGAAGAAAGGTCATGGCTGAAGACCTCTGTCTCTAATTGAGCTTGGCAGACAGCTTCCACAGATATGTCTATAAATAGACAGTGGTTGGAAATGCCTCATTATTTTTAGGTAATGTTTTTGTCTTATTTCCTAGGTCTTTTTTCTCTTTTTCCAGAGAAAAATGTTGTAGGACTCTTCTGAGGAGGCTCCTGCCGCCTGTAGAGTACCAGGCTTCTAGATGCAGTTCATCCTCTGTTCTTGGGGACTGAAGTTCTGGATAAGCATGTGTGATGAAAAGAAAACTGCTTCTTTCTGCAGCTAAAATACTCTGTTCTCATAATCTACAGGAGAAATCAGGGAGGAGTCTGGCTTGTACATAACCTTTGTGAACAGGAGCTTGAAGGAGACTGGGTTATAGCGGTTGACCAAGCAGGATCAGTCATTCAAAAAAACATGCTGGATGTATGTTCTTGACCTTGAGGGTGTTTGAAGGATTGGGGGATGTGTTTGCTGACAGCAGTAACTAACAGTCTGACTTACAAATTCATCTTCCTGCTGTTCTTCTGGAGCAGCAACTGAAAACTACTCACAGCTCTGATCTCTTTTGCCTTCCTTCTCACTACAAATAGATAATGTTGGGGCTAAAGGGGAGAACCCAGAGGCCTCTCTTAATGTTTTCTGTTTTGCTTAGGATGGAAACAGTGCACACTATGTGTCTAAGAACAGTAATGAGTATTCCTTACCCACTTTTATTTTGGAATGCTAGCTTGGAAACCATGTGCTTGTGATCTCTGCATAGAGATCTTTAGGATCTAAAAGCAACAGTCATCTACTACATTACCCTTGCAGTGGGGAGAGGAGATGAAGGTAAAGATTTCTTCTATCTGATGGATGAAGCTGCCTGCATCCTCATACTCCTGTGGATAAACATTGAGATTCATCATGCTGTTAACTTTCGGGTTTTTAACTTACATCTGCCTTTGACTTGGTTCTTTTTCTTAGTTCAGTTTTGAGGTAATCAATTTAACCTGTGTTCTTCTGAGATATTTAAAGAGATAGACATGGGGTAGTTTTTATAAGCTGGTTTTTTTTGTGTTGTAGAAACGTGAACACTTCTAATGAGCCATAGGGCTGTATTTAAACAGCATGAATGATGGCTCTAGGAAAAATTAATAGTGCTGTTTTGTTTGGAGTGGCTTCATTGGAGCCCCTTTGTTTTGCAGAGAGCTTTTGCAAAGCCCTCTGTAAGAGCCTCTTATACAATAAAGAGTAAATGGGTGCAATATGAATACATCACAGGGCCACTTCACTCCTTGTCCTGGTGTGGACAAAGAGAAAAGTGCTGACAAAGGTTGCAGGAACCATCTGGGGAAAGAAGGGAAGAGCCCTTGGGTCTGATTTCCTTGGAAGGGATTCATTTATCAGTCCTAAAAACTTGCTGATGTTAGTCTTGACAGTGTTTTGAGGCCACAGAAGAGTGTTGATGTGGAAGTATGATGTCATCACAAAAAGTGCAAGACAGTGGAGAGGAAATAATCCTTGGCTTGGTTGTATATCTCCTAGCCTGTGCTAAGTGCTGCTATCTGCAAAACTCTCTCTAGTTACTGACTCCAGGATTATTCTCCTAATCTACAAAAATACTTCCATTTGTTGTCATTCCTGAATGTTCAAGCTCTGAGGTTAGACAAAATACCTACAGATTTTTATTTTTTACCTTCTTCCCAGATGGGGTAACAAAGCTGCAAAGTATCTAATTAGCATCATGCTGAGGCACTTTCATTTAGATGCAGAGCACTTCTCCTGAAATGACTTCAAAATATGCAGGATTAATGCCATTTTTTTGTGGCGACTGTTTCTCTGTTGCTTGAAGTGAGAATGAGAATTGTCAGTAGTGAAAAAGGTTATGAGGGCAGATGACAGAAGTTAATTCCCATATATTCATCTTCGTGGGAAAAGGGTCCAGCAGACTTCCTGTTGTTCCCTCCCTCAGCTGATAAAATGCCATCCTGGTCTTGATGTGTAAACACGCTGGAATTTGCAAGAGATCAGCTCCTGAAAACCTCATGTTTTCAGCTTTTAAAAGCCCAGGGCACTGCAGCTTGACAGATCTGTACTCTGTCCTCTTCTGCCTTCCTCCCTTCCATCTGTTTGTGGGATTCTCTTGCCCAGTTTGCCTCCCTGTGGTCTTAGAGCTGTTGAGCCTTATCCTTGGAAGAGGCAGTGGTGGTGGCAAAGATCCTGCAGAGAGCTATTAAAGTGTTACCAACAGTGGGAGCCTAAGCTGGAAAGCTTTCTGGTAGCTGCCCACTTCTTTCATGTCAAGCTGGCAGCAGCTTGAAGGGGGGGGATCCACCCAGGAAAAGGAAAAAAAAAAAAAAAAGACAAAAGTGACAGTGTTTTGCTTTAGCTTTAAAGGTTTGTTCATTAATTTTCCATGTCCTGAAAGACTTAAAAAAGCCCTTTGATACTCTACATGATGTCTGTCCAACTCTGATTAGTTTTTATTTTATCTGTGACAGGGTAAGTTGGGCTCTTGTGCTACTGTCTTATCATTAATGAAATTAGCAAGTATTAATTTGTGATTGCTGGACTAAACTGTCGTGTTTAAGTCAGTGAAAGCACAGATCTGAACCTAGAATTTGGCCTACAAAAGGAAAACAACAAGGAAAAACGACACCCAACTTCAGGTTTCAAATACTAACCTGAAACTCTTGCTTTTCTGTAACCTACATATTCACTCTGGCTTTCTAGTTTTCAAGTTGAGAAATCAAAAGTAGTGGTTTTTGCAGAGGCAAAGTCTTTTACTCATGTTGTATTCTGTTGTATCAGAAGTGTGTTGGGTTTTTTTTTCTTCCCCCTGCTCCCCCTAAAGTCTGAAGTAGAAATACTTCCATTTCGTAGGTTTTTCTCTGGAAACTACTATTTAGCCCGATTTGCAAAGGAGAGAGGCAGTTGTGTCCTTATTGTTTTCCTAAACCTTTATTAGTCTCCTGTTGGTGGAGCTTCTGAACCTGTTGGTAAATTCTAAAGAGATTTTTAAAAGAGATCTTAAAATAACTGAATTTTGTGAGGATTTGTGTCTGGGCAGAGTAGAGAGATCCACGTTGCTGCCCACAAGGAAAAGGCAGGAAGAACTTGTTAGGTGCATTTGCTGAGCTGGCTGTTTCTGCTGGTGCATGCATCCTTCCAAAGTGGACGTGACATCTTTAGCCTACTGTGTGTATTATAGGAGAAGTAAGGGATATTGCAGCTGGGAGAGGAGCTACAGGAGAAGAAAGGAAGATAAATAAACACTTAAGGACTTACTTCAGAGTAGTATCACCTGGCTTAGTTTTGTTCAAAATTCATTAGTCTTAGACTGTAGGAGCCTGGCAAAGTTAATCTATTAGTTTCTTCGAGACAACTTTACCTTTCTTCACATGAAGTTGCAGGCAGACTGTCAGTCTGAGTGAGCCTTGGTCATTTCTAAAAACAAAATTATGGCTGTGAGAGTTCTGTCGCTTACTCTGTTAAATAGAGCTTCTCAAGGTAAGTGAATCCCAGCTTGAAAAACAATAAAAAATTGTTTAGTTATGTTTTAAATAGTAGTGTGGAGTGAGGGTGCTATCTTAATATGCTGGTGGAATACAGTATGTTTGTCATGTTAGCCTTTGGTGAAAAGTGTTAATTTTTCTTTTCAGCCAGCAGCTACAACAGCTAGTGTTACTACAGTTACTGCTGTAAAGCCTTTGAGTACTGGAACACCTGTAAAGCTTCCAGTTACAGGACCACCTGCACAAGCTATCTCCCAAAAGGCAGTCTCTGTGAAAGCAGAGGGCACAACAGTAGCACAGACCAGCACTTCTACAGTAAGGAAAAAAAAGTTTAATTAAAAATTAACATTCTCTATATTCATCAGAGGTTGGAAAGCCAATGCAACATCTAACAGTCTTCTCTTTATTTCCACACTAGGAGATGCTAGAGAATGTGAAGAAATGCAAGAATTTTCTTGCTACGCTAATAAAGCTGGCATCTAGTGGACCTCAAGCCCCTGAGATGGGGCAGAATGTGAAGAATCTGGTGCAAAATCTACTGGTGAGACTTTTTTAAAACAAAGTCTGCATCATTTGTGTTATCATTTTCTGACCTTGACTTCATCATAGTTTTGTTCCTCGTCTTTTTTTAAAAAAACAAACAAACTAAAAAACCCAAACAAACAACTGAAGAGTTGGATTTGTGGCTGAGTACATCTGACCCTCTTTAAGTCTTACATTATAACTGTTATTTTTAACTGGATCCCATGGTGTATTTCCCTGCCATCCCTCACATTCTTGTTTCATTTTATGCACACAGGTAACTGAGCAGGAGGAGCTGATAGTGTTAACACAACTTCTGGCTCTGAGCTGCTTTTTTTTTTCCCCCTCCATGTTAGAGTATGAGTCCTCAATGGCAGGAGTGTTACTGTGGAGGTTGTTGTGCAGTGCTAAGTCCATACCACTGTTTTACTCCAAGACAGAACTGACTTACAGGTTGATAGCAAGGCTCCAGCAGAACAAGCATGGCGTTATCTATGTCTATAGACAGTGGGATGGAGAAAATAATGTGGTGGCTGCCAACCTCTCTCTCCTTGCAGGTGGCTTCTGTATGCTGCTTTGTGCTATACCCAGCACAGCTGGGTTTTCTTGATAACAATTTCTCCTGCCACTTCTTGTCTTGGCATTTGACCGCTGCTGCTGTTTTGTTGTTCCACTGTAGCAGAAGGCTGTGGGCTGGTGGAGAGGGATGACTTTGCTAATGGTACCAAAGGACTTTTCAGTCTAGAAAAGCATGGTGTAGACAGAGGTGTAATTTCAGAGAGCAGATTGTTTTAAGATGCAGCCTTGCAAAACTGTTTGATTCCTCTTCTTCATCTGCTTTTGTGTCCCTGCTGGACTATACACCTTGATTCTGTAGGAAGATACTAGAATTGTTCCTTCTTGTGCTTACAGTACTTTTTTTTTTTTAAGAACAGTTGTTGCCAGACATTAATGCATCATTTAACTGTGCATTTGTTTGCTTTACATGATATTTAAAAAATGCTGTTCTGCCATTCCATATGTATATATGATTGAAATGTAAAATAAATTAATGTTTCATATGCATGAGAGAAATGAGTAAATGGCAGCTGTAAAGTAAAATGGTCATTAAGGCAGCATCTCATGAAGTGGGTGACATGCACTCAGATTGTATGCACTGAGATGTACTGTACCAAATCACTGCATTTGTACTGGGGAGACCTCGGTGATCTGTAGCTGCAGCTCAGTGACACCTAACAGGCATCAGATTAAACAACTAAACAGGAGAGGTACAGCAAGTTCTGTTTGTCTGTGAACATACAGTCCTTAAAACCCCTGCTCTGGTCAAGTAACTCCTTGGAACAGTTTTTCTGAAGGAGAATATGGGTGAGAGGAGTAATTTCTCTGCAGAGACAAGAGATTGATGGTGGGGTTCCTCTTCTTTGTGTGTTTGTACTTCCTTGGAGAAGATAACATTCTGGTGACTCTGTCAGGGTCTCACCTGGGAGGGTGAGAAAGGGCAGCAGTGTCTGGGGCTATCCACCACCTTAGCCCCTTCGTGGTGGCACTGAAACAGCGAGTGAGGGGGTCTCAGAAGTCTGCTGCAGCTTCCTAACCCTCCCAAACCCTTGAGTCAGGTGTTTGTGTTGGGGCAGAGCAGAAAGCAAAGGAGACTGTACTCTGCAAGCCAGAGGGCTGTTACCTTAGTGGTATGCAGAAGTGATGTTCCAGATGCTCCTGCTTTTGAAAGACCATGTTAAGTGTTCTGCTATGTGTGCATTAGACTAGAATTGTCTTACAAAAAATACTGAGTTGTCTTTTGTCTCTCTCTTTAAATTGATCTTTATGCAGATAAACTACCTTTACATAAAAAAAGTACTTTCTGCATAACAATGAGGTACTCAGTGCTACTTATAAACTTGTTTCTGTCAGCTCACTTCAGTGAGGTCTTTGATCAAGTATCCTTAAGTGTGTTACCTGCCTGCTGTCTAAGAAAGTAATTTAATCTGATAATACCGTATCTAAATACAAGATCATTCTATCCTAAAATCTGTTGTTTGAAAATACAAGAGGAAAAAACATTTGAGTATTGACTTTGAACAGTTCCACAATAATGTAAATTTCCATGAATTTTTGATACATCTGGGGAAAAAAATATTGTAGATTCATAGTTAACTTACCATAGTAATTATACTTCCCTCTTAGGAAGCAAAAATTGAACCAGAAGAATTTACAAAAAAGTTATACATAGAGCTCAAGTCATCTCCACAACCGTATTTAGTTCCTTTTCTCAAGGTAAGTGTCTGATTGTGGATATGTAATGTTTAACGAGGGGAGGGAGGAGGACTGGAAAAGGAAAGGAGAGAGAGCATTCAAATAGATGTGCTCAGGTCAGTTGAGGAAATGATGTTTAACCTAGCCCTGCATGACTTGCTCTTGGAAAGACAATTTTTTTTGTGAGGGAGAGGATTTTACTTTCCCATCAAAACTGTAACTGTACAAAATTCTAATACAGAAGACTGACAACAGAAGCTGTGCACAGCTTATGCAGTAATTAAGCTCAAAGAATCTACATAAAGCTAGTATTCATCTGTCTGCTGGTTTGTGTTTAACTGGAGGCAGAAAAAAACCCCATGCCTTTCTACAGAAAGTCTGACAGGGCTGCTGCAACTTAGGAAGAGTAACCCAGGATAATTCTGCCTCCATTCAAGCAAACATACATGTAAATTTAAAAAAAAAAAAAAAAAGCAGTCTTAACTTTTTAAGTCATATAGTAGAATGGAAATTATTAACAATCAAAATAAAAATTAACATCTTTGTTGCATAGCAAGCATTAATTCCCGTGAAAATAGGGAAAACTTGGCTATATTTAATTGCACTGCACACTATTCTTCGTCTTGATAGATCTGTACTTTTCCTGTGCCATTCACTATAGGCACAGTTGAGAATCAAGGAAGAACAGTTAAGTGCTAAAGCTGGGACGGAGTTTTTTCTGGAGTTTGTCTTCCTCTGTTTGACAGCACATATAACTGCGTGTGATAATGTTATCACATTGTTATGATACTACTTCAGATGGCTGATATTAATCTGTTAAAGTATGGGATTAATATTTTTGTTACAGTGGCAGCCTTTAAATGCTTCATTAGAAAGTTTGCCTTGAGTCTAGAAGACTCCTGTCTTTTCTGCAGGGCTTGATATAAAATTTTCATATCAGTCACTTACTTATTCTCTGTTTAATTCCCTGTAGGTTTCTTAAAAGCTGATGCAAAAGCTAAAAGGGAAAAAAAAGATAGCTTAGAGTATGGGCCTTCCTGCATCCAGTGTAGCTCTGGCTGCAGAAGGACCAGGTTGTGAATGCAGAGTCAGTGTGACTGGCAGAGGTTTTCCGTGAGCGGTGCAGTCTCAGCAGAGCTCTACTGACTGCCAGGGCAAGTTTGGCTTCAGAAGTAGTGTAGCTGCCTTCTGCAAGGCCCTGGCTGATGAACACCACTGGATGTAGGTTGGCTGCATGTGCGTAGCTCCACACAGATCTAGCCCAAGTCTGGCACCCCTAGACCTCATCTGGAGCTGCTGTGCCCTGACGGCCCTGGATTAGTTAATGCAGAGGAGCTGAGCCAAGAGGTGTCTGTGCAGCACTTGCTAGGGCTTCTACCCCTTTGGGTTGCTCGAGGGTTTATTAGCTGAGGCACAGTGCTGTCCTTCATGCACTTGTGGAGGTGCTCAGCTGGAGTTAATGAGCCATCTCACAATGTGGAGAGTTCCACAGGTAGTGCACAGACCTTGAGGCAGTTCCACAGAAGTTAAGTTGGGTTCATCAGCGTGGGTCAGGCTCTGACCCATCACAGCAGAGCTATCACAGGTTTCTCCTGCGGCATGCTACCAGGTACTGGTATCATCCTGGCTTTCCTGTTTTGGGCAGTATCCATAACCCATAATCCTTGCCAAGTTGCTTTCTCCATGTTGTACTCTATAAACAATGAAATAGTATGACTTCAAAAACGTTGACTGTGACAGTGACTAAACAATGTGAGTTGACTATAGTATTACCATCCTTTAAAACATCTTGCACCCTGATTGCTTTTTTCCTGAAATACCTTCAGGATGTGCAGTTGATACAGACCAGACTTAATTGGTGTGTAATGCTGGGCAGCTGTGACAGGACTGAGTGCCAACTGGAAGGTGACTTCAGGAGCACTTCTCTAAGGTGCTTTGAGGATTGGTGCTGGCCTTGTTTGTGGGGGAAAAGCTTGCAGTTTGAGTCTGGAAAGAAATGTGATAGGGCTTATTGCCAATTGACTTTCAGCTAGTGAAATGGAATTTTAGGGAGGACTCTATGGAGTTGTCTCTTATCTTTGAGCTGCAGGCTTTTGATGAAGTTGTTGCATGTGTTTTGTTTTGTCTGTTCCAATAGGTGGAAAAGTACTGTGACTTTGGCTGTAAAGCCTGCTTGATTTTCAAATCTGTACTGGATGCTTTTGGTAAATAAATTGCATCAGGAGCATGGGGAAAGCTGAGCAGCCTTTTAAAAGAAAAGGAAGTGAACGTTAAAGATGGGTGTGCCACAGAAGGTCTAGGTGTCCAAACAATTTGTTCACTCACTATATTATCATGTGAGGCAACATGTTCCTTTTGCATGAAGCCCAGAGGAACAACGCTATGCTGGAGACTCTGTTACAGAGTTCAGGAACTGTTAGAGGAGGAAAAAAAGGTTTGAGAGAATATACAGGTAGCTGCAGAACTGATTTCCCCTGGTTCTGAGCCATAACAGATTGTAAATAGTCAAGGAGAAAAATCTGTAGAGGGCTTGAAGATTATTCTGTCTATTAACCTTCTCAAACATAGCTGTAGTAAAAATGAGATGTTGCCAGATACCTTTCCCAATGTTCTCTCATTTCAGAGAACTATCTAGCTTAAGCTGTGCTGCTGCAGCTATACAGACATTATTAAAGTGGTATCCCCCCCTAGTGTAGATACACTGTATGGTATAGAAGTGCTCATATCTTCAGAGCTTGTTTCTGACTTCATTGGATAATTTGTAGTTCTTTGTCAGGCAGGCTCCATGGAGTAAACACAGCTGTTAAAATATAGCAGGGTTTTTTGGCAAAGCAGGATTTTTTTAGATAGTAAAACGGTTAAAATGGTCTTTTTCTAGAACACAAATTTCAAATTGAAAAATCTAAACAAAAGAATAAAGTTATGGGTGAGTTTCGCTATAGATGGTCTTGACCGAGCAATATTGTCATCAATTTAAGGGTGTCTAAATTCTAGCAAAACTTGTTTGGAATAAGCAGTTTATTATATCATGAAAAATTAAATTGGAAGATGAGGAACAAGATTCAATTGCTAATGTATCAGTATTGTGGAAGAATCTACTGATGTTACGTCCAATGTTTTTTCATTTTTATTCTAGAAAAGCATGCTTGCCTTACGACAGCTAATGCCCAATGCTCAGAGCTTTATCCAGCAGTGTATGCAGCAGCCAGCTCCAACCCAAGAAGCTGTTTCAACTTGTACCTCTGCAGCACCAGCTCCTTCAATAGCAATGGCAACCTCAGCTGTAGCAACAACTTCTCTTCCAGTTATCAAACCAGTGTCTGCCTCTGTAACGGTCACAGCCTCTCCGGTTATAAAACCAGTCCTTGTCAGTGCATCAGCAACAGCTTCTCTGCAGACCATGAAGCCTGTTCCTGCCGCTGCAGTGGTGACAGCATCCCTTCGGCCTGCAGCTTCAGTCATCACCACAACGGTAGCAACATCTGGGCTGACTGCTATCCAAACTGTCAAGCCAGTCTTCACCTCTGCGGTAGCAACGTCCTCTCTCCAGTCTGCAAAGCCACTGCTGGTTTCTACAGCAGCATCTTCAGCAACAACCCCTCTCCAGCCTCTGAAACCAGTCATTGGAACTCCAATCAGTATTAAAATCTCACAGCCAAACTCCATCGTTGCGCAGCCAGTAGGTGCTCAGCAGGTGGTTAAAGTAAAACAGTTGGTAAGATGAATTTCCCTGCTTCTCTGTATCTGGGCTTCTTTACTTTGACTCTTTACATTTTGTAAAGAGAATACCAATTTGGATCTTAACTTTTTTTTTTTTTTTAACATAATAATCTAGTCTGTTATGACTTAATCAGTTATGTTTGTTATAGTTAGGGATATTGTATTGAGCCATTGCTGAAAAGGTGAGTCTAAAGCCAGGCTGTAAGCTTGGTCTCTTGCAAGACATGCTGACCACCGTTCCACCAGACTGAACATCCAGCTTGAGACACGAGGGAACGTGAGTTCTGACCCCTGCTATGTGAGCAGCCAGACTGGGTTGGCATCTGAAAGAAAAGACAGGAAATGCTTTTAGTGTCAGAAACAGAAATTGCCGATGGGTGCGTACGTTAATTGCTATTAGATGCCCTGTTGGGGCTGTGCCTCAGCTAGCCACCAGGGATTCCAGACTCTCTACCTTGGTAGTTCCTACCCTGGATACTTTGCTGGGAAAGGTGGCTTGATGATCTTTAGTGATATGTTAACTGAAATGTACAAACTAGCTCAAGGAGCTTTTCAGAACAGAGTTCTGACCTCCAAAATTCCTAAAACATGTTAATTATGAAGTCTTCCAAAAATGAGCTTTTTCTATCAGGCCTAATTAGCTAAGAAATTCCGGAAGGAATAAATGTCTTATTAAAACAGTACCCTTAAAAGAAATGTGTTAACACTTTTTCTTGGCACAGGTTAACTTCTTGCTAATGTTAATGTTAAATACCAACAAACTGGATCGCAGGTATACCCAAAAGAGCAATGTGAAGTACATTAGATTTGGTTTATGGGTGTTTGAGATACTGAGTAGTGTGCTGACTGCTCTATGTGCAAATAATGTTCTCAAGTATTTTGAGAGAATAGTCTCCCTTTGTCAGATAAAGAACTTGATTCTTGAATAGGATTTCCTTGTAAAGATTTTTTCCTTAAAAAGAGGGGAAAACATTAGACTTCCTATGAAGCTACATTTACTTTCCACAGGTATAGTAAGGCATGTAGTGTGTGAATTTCCTTTGTAGTTTGTTTATTTTGTATACTTGATTTATCAGCATTCAGACCCCTAAAATGTTTTGCCTTTTTAGTTTTCTTCCTTTCAAAGTGCATAAAGTGGATGTAAATAATAGAATCTTGCATTCCCTGTGAAGAGCTTATACTACCAGCTTTTCACCTTTTCAGACTTAAAAAGAACAAAGCACTCGACTATAGGGAGGAGATAGGGGCTCCTTTTTATGAGTGGGTTTTTTTTAAAAACAGTTATCAAGCATATGCACTAACAGTCTTCGATAGGAGTAGCAAAAGCCAAATTGGAAAAAGAGTTGATACCTTTACTGTCTTTAAGGACTAAATTTGAAATTGCAGCCAGAAGAAAAGGAGGACTCCTTAGGTTGTACAAGGTCTGGAGAACAGTTTGTTGGCTACACAGCAAGCCACATAATCCAGGGGAAAGGTAGACCATCTGTACAAATAGACGAGGAAGCTTAACTCCGCACTAGGGAGTCGAAACACTTCTTGAATATGATATTGGTGAACTCAAAAAATTACTTCTGCCTCCTCCACTCCTGCTCTGTGGCAGCCTATTGCAATTGTTTTTCTTCACTGTGCCTTACACTGAATTCCATACAAAACATGTTTATTCTCATTTGGGTAGATCCCAGGCTCGGTGATTAAAATACTTGCTCTTCAAAATACCTGTTTAATTTTGGTCTTGTAGTTGAAGGCTGAGTCGACCACTGTGCAGCTTAGCCATATCAGGAGCTTGGTGTTTGTTCAGACAACCTATTAGCATGAAGAGCAAGTTAGCAGAAGTGAGTGCATCTTCTAGGGCTTCTCTGGTACATTTCCTTGAAAGGACAGAGGGTCTGTTTTCCTCCCACAAGAAAACAAATCTGGACCTCCCCTCCATAAAGAGAAAGGTCCTGCTGCCAGCTGAAAGGAAGCACATGCCAGCTGTGCAAATCTGTCCATACAATACTGCCAGCAATTTCTTTCCCTTTGCAGCCCGCAGAGTTGTCTGATGCCATACACTCCCTCTGCCTGCCTGTTTCTAATTTAGGTCTCTTGTGCTTGGGAATGTAAAGCAAACTTTAATGTGCCAGCTCTGATGTATTGTTGGTGCTGCTTAAGAATGCAACACTGTGGTATTTTAATATCGAAATTGTGACTGGAGTGACACAATGTCACAACTGTCTTTTCTGTGACACGACTATCGAAACTCTGGGTTTGTACGGTGGACACTGAGGGACCTGTTCTGCAGGGATGCTGTTGGGGTTGATCACCCACCTGTGTTGAGAGTTGCATGCTGGACAGGGTTCCCTCTCAGTGACTTTCTTAACACAGCCTCATTTAAGGGCATTGGCACACACAGAAGTTTCATCTTGGAAAGAAAACTTGTCTTGCTGTAGTATTGCTTTGTCTCTTGTTAAAGCACAATAAATGAAAATTTGCATTACCTGCTGCTGGCTTCCAATAGTGAGAAAGCTGCTGTGACACCATAGCTTCCTGTTAGGCTTAAAGAGCAGGAGTTTTACAGTGTACTCCCTGCAATTACCAGTGAGATGTGCTCCCTGGACATTGCTAGCGGTTGAAGCAAGGAGTGAACTGTTTGTCTTGATCCGACCACTTATTCTTAGTGAGTTGTTGTTAGTGTTGAGTCCCCTCAGAGCTGAGCTTTCTTGAGCAGCGAATCTTCTCTCTTATTTTTCAAGAGCTTTTTCTCCTGGATGTATGCTTTTGCATTCAGCTGGTGAGGCTTACTTCATGAAGCAATACAGTTTGTAGTGTGTGATGACACCTTGCCATCTCTCCACTGATCTCTGAACTTTGCTGTATGAATGCAAAACAGGTTCAAGTAAAACTAATCAAATTCTCTCTCAGGCAGCAGTCCCTATGCTGTAGCTGGATGTTACATTGTGGGTTTTTTTACTTAAGAGGGTTGGTGCTTTTTATTCTGATGTCTCTGTCAGCCTACTTAATGGGGCACAAAGGAACAGTCCCTTTTCTTTATTACCCTTTGCTGCTAACCTGAAGAAAAGAGACAATAGCTCTTTCTCACCGATATTATCTATTATTTTTCGTACTTTTTTTCTGGTATTAGATCCTTGTCGAAATTTCTAGGCTTGTTGCCCTGTTCTGTTGCAACTCCCAAGGACTTTCAGTTTTTGTTAGTCTAGCAGCTAGAATAGTAAACACAAAATCAGCTTTACTGCCAGCACATCCTGTCTGTTCCTCGTTGATCTTACTTCCCAATCTCCACCTAGGCTATTGATTTAACATTGGCTGTCTGTTCTTTTTGTCTACCACACCTTCATCTTGAATGCTTCCCCCTGTGTTCTTCCAGTGTTTTGCATGCTGAAGGTGAAGCATCGTTCTTGGTGGTAGAGAGGAAGTTTAGGTGCATGTCAGTGTGGGTGGTGGCAGAGCCTGTGAGTAGTTTATGCAAGCTGGTCAGTGCTTCATTAACTATCTGAACATATAAATGATGTTTTTAATATTACTTTCAACTTCTAGCATATGGAAGTTGGATCTTTCAGAAAGATCAAATTTTGTTTTCATGAAAACAAACAGAAGCAAATGTTGGTGTGTGCACTGGTTCATGAGGCAGCGCTGCACGTGTGAGCATTGACTCTGTCTGCAGTCTGTCCCTGTACTCCTGTGGCTCTTTCCTCTGCATAAACTTGGGAGATGGGGATCTTCTGTTTCTTCTCAAGAGCTACCTGTTCAATGTCTGGTTTTCAAACACCACTTTCAACTTGGTTGTGCTGTGTTACTGCTGCTATGCCAAACCATGATGCTATCAGCAGATTAATATGGGGGTGGGTAGGGTGTATCTTGACTATTTGATATGGAAAGTACCTCTTTCTGTGAATCTGTGATACTTACCCTGATGATGTTTACTGATAAATCTGAAGTTAGATGACAGGAGACAGCCTAACTTCTGAAGTATAATAAATATCAATTCTTTATTCAATTAAGCTTGTGTAGTGTTGCTCTATAAGAACTCTTTAGACTTTCTGAAGTTAGAATAAAAGATGTAGAGGGGAAAATGTGGTTTCTTGAGCCTGAAAATTCCTCTTTACTAGCATTTTGCTGCTAGAAAAGTAGGATTCAGTCTTGAAGATGTTGGTAATCTTGTGCTTTTACCAAAGCATGTCTTTCTACTACTCGTAATCAATAACTTTTCCAAAGGATATATCAAAAGCTGCAGCCCACATTCTGCTAGCTTAGAAACGAGGCTTTTAGGGGTGCTGCAATTTTATTACTTCCTTGCATTTTAATAGCTACCCCTGAAGAGGAAGAATTAGTATTTATGCGCTGTGCCTGTAGGTCTGTGTTGTGATGACATCCTGATGTCTGATTTTGTTTCTTTCAAGAGCCTCTTTAAACAAAATTATCGGTCCCCTTCCTCTTTACCCTTCAGTGGTGTAGTGATGTTTGTGTAGAGGCTCTACTTGCTATTGGTGATGCTAGTTGGTACTTCATGTTCCTGCTAACTGATGTATTCAGTGTACTTTTGCTTAATGCTTTGAAACTCGGCATCTCAATTTACAGGTGATGTTGTGGCTCCAAAAATGCATTTATAGAGTGTACTCTTACTTTATAGAGTGTACTCCTAATTCTTGACAGGAAAAGGACATTATGCAAGACTTGTGTTGGTTTTGGTGTTCTCTCTTTTTTAGCTAGGTGTATGTGAAACCTACCTACCCTTTTGAACTTGTTGGCAGGCAGACTCAATATTCAATTGTTAGTTTGTTAAGCATGACTTGGGAGAGGAAAACCTCTTAGTGTAATGAATTGTGTAGTACTCAGTGAAACTCGTATAATATAGTTATCAATAGAGAGTAAGGGTGAAGTGTTGGTTAGAGCAGCTTGCTGAATGAGCTGAAGCTTAAAGCTCACCACCAGTTGTTAAGATTTTGTTTCTTGATATCAAATAAAAATATTTTTTTTTAGCATGCTTTTTGCTTTTCACTGAAAGCTGAACATGCATGCATGCCCAGTAGCACTTCTGGCTGGATGAACACCTTGATACTATTTACTTTTCTCTCTTTATCTCTTCTCACTCTTGATGTTGGATATTCCACTTCCAGGTGGTCCAGCAACCATCAGGAACTGTTGTAAAGCAAGTATCTGCACTCCCGCAGCCTTCAACACTGACCCTACAGACATCTGCTGAGAAAAGGATGCCGCTGAACACACTTATTCAAACTAACCAGTTCCCTGCAGGTACAGTAGAACCTCTTTAGTGGACAAGTGAGAGGACTGCTGAGGTATAGAAATGAGTGTAGGCTGTTAGTGGATTGGAGGAATGTAAGAAGGTTGTAGTCTATTGGGAGCAACCACCTCTGTGCGATAAACTTAACAACTTTATTGCCTGCTTGGAGCTCTGGTAAGAAACTCAGTACCATGGCAGACATCTGACAGCTGTTTAAAGAAGGTCAATCAAACATTTGTACTTGTTAAAATACTGCAAGTAAGCTCCTTGCAGTAAACTTATTTTAAACTCATGCTTTTGAGAATCACTTTGAGACTTTGCTTTTTTCTTCAACAGGTACAGGTTGATACATGAGTGTCTCAGTCAGTTTTCACTAAAACCTTTCAATGGTCAGCACAGAGGAGGGTGTTTGAGAGCATGTAGAGTTTTTGGCTATACAGAACATGCAGAGTGTAATAGAGTATCTGGCTTTCAAATGGACCTAATTAGTTGTTGTTGAGTCTGCAGTATCCTTTCCTAGAAATATGAACTAATTAAACAGTTGTCTTAGCATTTTGCTTTCTACTATGGCATGTTCTTACTTTTGTTTTAGGTTCCATTCTGAAACAAATTACCCTGCCAGGAAATAAAATTCTGTCGCTTCAGGCATCTCCTGTTCAGAAAGCTAAAATAAAAGAGAATGGAGCAACACCCTTCAGGTAAAAACAAACAATATCAGAAGTTTACTATAGGAAGGAACAAAAGGAACAGACAGCAAGTACAAAGGTGGGAACAGAGCCCAAATAAAAGCAATTTTATTTAGATACTTGTTTATTGGTAGGTGCTTTTGATGTTACAATACTGATTGGCAAGGAGGAACCTAAAAATTTTGACCCCATAGTAGATGTTATTTATTCTTAATATAAATAAAACTGTCCTGATGACATTGGATTTTCATCATGCTATCCCGAGTGTAATTATACAAGTAGTGTGCATCAACATGTATCAGTTTTTCACTTGTAGAGAACATGTGTTGATCTCCATTCTGTGAGCGCTACTAACTCATCTAAAGCAAAGTTACCTTGTCTTAAAAGCTCTCTGTAGGATTAAAGACTCACAGAATCACAGAATGTTAGGGATTGGAAAGGACCTCGAAAGAAGATAAAACTTCTGTTTTTTACAGACCACCAGTTAGCATTGAACTGTTATTTGGACTGAGTGGTAACCTGTCTAAAGCTCTGTGTTATATTACAAAATCTTTTATTAGCTTGTTCCTGTATGTAGAGGTGAAAATCTTTGACTACACCTCTAATTATGGCTTCTGGCATATTCTCTAGTCCTTTAAATTCTAAGAATGCTTAAAGCTTTTAGTTCTAGTAACTGATTAACTTTTCAAAAGCAATAAATTATTTTTGTACCTCTGAAATATGATGTTGAAACAGAGGTACAGACTGCTGTAAGCATTACTGATATTATGGGCTTAAGGCAAGCTTGAAATTACTCTTCCAGGGATAAAAGCAGACATGACAGCTTTGTCTTGTTGACCAGTTGACTTCTTATCTCTTGAAAGCTACAGCTTTGTGTGCAGTGACACAGACAGAGAGCTGCTATTATTTACAGTAATGTACAGTGTACACTGTACACTTAAAACATTGGTAGCCAGAAGTTAAAACAAAAAGCTGATGTTAAAACAATAGCTCTGTTCAGCTCCCTCGAGCTCATATGAAATATACTTCCAAATATAATTTGGAGTGTAATTTTGTGTAGTGATGTTTGAAAAAATCACTCTGTAAGTATAATTAAAAAACCCCCCAACAAAACAACAAAAAAACTCCACAAAAAAAACCTAGAAACAATTTTTTGTGATCTTCCAATCAGAATATATCAACTGTCTTGCATGAAAAAGTTTGAATTCTTGTAGTTCCTTCCCCGAATTGTGAAGTGTAGGAAAAACTCTGTCTACAGTGAGATCCAAGGTGGATTTCTGTTCCTGCTTTTGGGTTATTATTTTCAAAGTATCATAAATCCAGGAGAATTCAGATTTGAAACCTCTAGTTCACCTTAAATTTTTCTAGTAAGTCTCTTCCCTGAAGAATTTATCTCTTTGGATCACAGAATGGTAGGCATTGGAAGGTACCTCTGGAGATCGAGTCCAACCCCCCTGCCAAAGCAGGTTCCCTACAGCAGGTTGCACAGGACTGCATCCAGGTGGGTTTTGAATATCTCCAGAGAAGGAGACTCCACAACCTCTCTGGGCAGCCTGTCCCAGTGCTCTGTCACCCTCACTGTAAAGCTTTTCCTCATGTTTAAGCGCAACCTCCTGTGTTCCAGCTTGTGCCTGTTGCCCCTTGTGCTATTGCTGGCCACCACTGAAGAGTCTGACCCCATCCTCTTGACACCTGCCCTTTAGATATTTATAAACATTAACAAGGTCCCCTCTCAGTCTTCTCTTTTCTAGGCTAAACAGACCCAGCTCTGTCTTTCCTCTTAAGAAAGATGCTCCAGCCCCTTAATCATCTTCATAGCCCTCCACTGGACTCTCTCCAGAAGTTCCCTGTCTCTCCTGAACTGGGGGGGGCCCAGAACTGGACACAGTATTCCAGATGTGGCAGAGTAGAGGGACCTGCTGGTCACACTCTTCTTAATACACCCAGGATGCCATTGGCCTTCTTGTCCACAAGGGCACATTGCTGGCTCATGTTCAACCGGTCATCCACCAGCACTCCCAACTCCTTCTCTGCAGGGCTGCTTTCCAGCAGGTCAGCCCTAAACCTGTACTGGTGCCTGGGGTTATTCCTCCCCAGGTGCAGGGCCCTACACTTGCCCTTACTGAACTCCATCAGGTTCCTCTGTGCCCAACTCTCCAGCCTGTCCAGATCCCACTGAATGGCAGCACAGTCTTCTGGTGTATCAGCCATTCCTCCCAGTTTAGTGTCATCAGCAAACTTGCTGAGGGTACACTCAGTCCCTTCATCCAAGCCACTGCTGAATATATTGAATAGGACTGGACCAAGTATGGACCTTTGGGGAACACTGCTAACCACAGGCCTCCAACTAGACTCTGCACTGCTGATGGTGCTGCTTCTATTCACCAATATAACCAAACTTTCTGACTTTAAAAACTACATATGAGAATCTCTATATATCTGAACCTGGGGAGCATGCACCTGAACTTTTGGCTTCCCTAGGTCAAGTATCCGTGTTCTCCAAGCAGGTGTAGCACTGCTTAGTCTTAATCTGCCCTGGGCAATAGATGTTCCTTACTCTCTTCTGTCCTGACTTCTGTTATTCCCAGCGCAGCTGTTCTTTGACCTGTGATCCATCAACAGGTTGATCATTTGTGAAGCAGAGAGAAGCACCATGGTCCCCTTTCAGGTTTTGTCACGAGATTCATAACAGGCAGAGATCACGTAATTGATGTGATGCTACATGTGATGCTTCAAACTGTGGCTTCTTGTTGCAGTATGTCATCAAGCTTAACTGCCTTTGTGTGACTAAGTTAAGTTAGGATTTGAGAACATAATACTCACTAAGCTGTATTTAATAAACTGCAATTTGACCTTGTCTGCTCTTCAGTGGGTTGTTCTGGTTGCTCGAGATAAGCAGTAGAAAAAATGGTCATCCCCCCCCAATTAAAAAAAAAAACTCTTCTAGAAATGAGAAGATTTCAGCTGAGCATGGGCGTTACTGACACTTTATTGCCCCATGGCATGTATTGTAAAGGGCAGTCTCTTTTAAAAGCATAAAGATTTTTATAAACTGTTCTACATACTTCTGTAAAGTATATGCTAGAGCACCCTGGAAAAAAAGACATGTATTTGCATCCTCAAATATTTTTTTGCATCTGTTCTATTTAATAGAGTTGTTCTCTAAAGCACATAAACTCTGAGTTGTCCATTTTTGCCTGGAAGGTACCAGCAATCTCAAGTAGCAGATGAACAGGAGTGAGATGGCAGTGTGGAGAACACTTGGGTAGCTGTTGCTCCTGCCCCGTCGTGGTGGGGAGCGCTAGTGGTTCTTGCTCTGCTGGAATTGTTCTGTCCCACGTAGCTGTCCGTGATGGTGCACAGAGGTTTGGGTGAAGCTTGCCTTTCTGGTTTTCCGTTTGACTGTTATATGAAATGGAGTAAATAAAATGGATTCAGAAGAAGACATGTGCGTTGGTCAAACACCAGAGGGTGCCACAGACTCACTTTAGAGCCAGTACAGGCAAACTCATAGATGTGAGGTGCATCTGCATTACTTGGGCTTCTTTTACAGTGGAATATTCAGTATAAATGTCACATCTGACTTCATGCAGGGTAATGCTCAGATCTCTGTTCTGTTTCCCTCACCTTGTCCTGATAAGCTTAAATCACTGGAGATTTATAACAGTTGTGAGTTTTTCTTGTTGATTTCTGGGTCTGACATGATCAAGTGCAAAAAGCATTAAAGGAAGTGGTGTAGAAGGTGGACTTTTATGCAGGGATTGCTGAAAATAAAAGCAAGTCTGTATCCAACAAACATCTGCATGTATCTGGATTATTTTAAATCTGTCACTTTAATAGAATGACTTCTATAGCTTACTCGAGCTACATGATACCTCACTTAAAATGATTGAGGCTTGTTTGAACAGCAAGGAAAAAAGAATAGTAAAAGTACAAACTTAACATTGCTTCTTACATTAATCTTTAGTGAGCATTACTTCTAAGGAACTGCATTGATGATTCCTTTGGGTTAAGTAAAATAAGTGCAGCAGTGTTTTCGTAGGTGCAGATTAATCTTTCATCAAGGCTAGTGACTTGGTGACTTAATGTAAACTTGTATCCCACAGTGAATAAGTTAGAATTGATCCTCAAAAACAGCACAGGTAGAGGTGTCTACTTGCATATAAGCTCTTATATGTGTGTACTTACAAAACAGACTGTGTGCATGGAAATATTAAAGAAATTAGTAACCCAATAAAAGCTGGTTTTAGAGAAGTGGAACTTGTGTATGTAGAAAGGTGGACAGATCTATAGTATAGAAGTCTACCTCCTTCTTGCTTATTTGGAATATGTGGCCAGATTGAAAGCTAAAATGACTTACTGAAACTGTGTGCTATACAGTTATACCTGAGGTGCCAGCATCTTTACTTGGATTTCATAACCATCTCCATCAGGGTAATGTCAGTTTCCAGCATCTGCAGCTCTGATAGCTTGTGATGTATGTTCTTGTTGCTGGTTGTGCTGATGTTGTCATCTCCTTTATCAGCAGATCTGTGTCAGTCACTGTGTTTTGATGGGATTCTTCCCTCTGCCACCAGCAAAGACTTCTCTGTAGTGGTCATTAAGAAGAGGAAACTGGAGTGTACTTGTGAAGATCAGTTAGCACTCAATTAGCATGCAGTGAAACTTCATTTACAGGCTTCTTGAAAGATCAGGGTCTCTATTGGGCTGATAGAGCATGAGTATATGCTTGGAACTGCTCAGTTGCTGGTTGTGAAGGGGTAGGAGGAAGGAAGCTGTTCTGGTAGTGGTGACTTCAGCTTTGAATCATAACTGTGGTCACTTAACCATTCTGACAATACCAGGGTTTAGTGCTTTTCTTAGCACGATGGGCTTGGGGCACAAGCCTGGTCAGGAAACTATGTGTAGTTAGACTTAATGAATTAAGTTGGTTTAAGAATCTTTTGGGTGTCCTTTTCCCTGAACAAATCACATGGAAACTCCTAGCCATAAGGGCATGCAAATGAATGGCAGGAGGAATAGGGAAAGGCTGAACTTCTTTCCTAGCCAGGCTTCTCTCTAGAAGTTTGTGAGAAAAGATTTGTACCACAGAAACCTATTGAAGCCCAAAGGACAAAATGCATCTACAGGTTAAGAGAAAATCCCAATGCTCTCTTGCGTCTTTTGAATATTGCTTAAACCCAGACCATGTTCTAAGAACTTCAGCTTCTACCTGTTGCCAGTCAGAAGACAGCCTCCAAGAGATCCCATTTCATCTAACAATGGCAAGCTTCTGACTTGTTCAAGAGTTATGTAGGCCACACAGTATTTTGTGAAGGCAAACTTTATCAGACCTTGACAGTGGATACTTTTCAGGAGGGGAGCGTGTGTGGTTTTGGTTTTTGTTTTGTTTGTTTGTTTTCCACAATAAAAGACCTTAAGATTGAGTGCTCACCTGTCTGTATTAGTAATGCCACCTTGTGTTCTGTTTCTAAACCCTTGAAGCAACTATTAGGGCCTTTGTCACTTTGTGAAGCAAAAAGGGCTTTCTTTTGACGATCTAAACTTAATTGAAAATAACTTGGCTATTTTCATTGCTAAAGTCCTGAAAAAATTTTCCCATATAGATTTCATTCGGTATTTTAACTAAAATGATCTTTTTTAAAAAGAAGCAAACAGGCTATTTGCTTACTGTGAGCTTTGCCATGATTATAACTAGTCTTAGTTGTGTTAGCACTAAGTACATTGGACAGAGTTTTTATTTTGAACATGTAGACCAAAGCTGCTACAGCAGAATCCAGCTGACGGGGGGATATTAAGAACTAGAGCTCTGCTGCTGTTCTTCAGAAACAGCATCCTCCCCACTATGTACAGAGGTACTGTGTGGTAGGGCTCATTAAAAGGACAAGGTCTGGTTGATTCTGTAGACTACAGACAAGGAGCACTCAATTAGCATGCAGTGAAACTTCATTTACAGGCTTCTTGAAAGATCAGGGTCTCTATTGGGCTGATAGAGCATGAGTATATGCTTGGAACTGCTCACTTTGTATTTTATTTTTTAAGGGAACTCACTAAAAGAAAAGTGAAGATCAGGTTTGTGATAATATACTTGTGCTGTAAGCTTCAGTTTATTGGATTGGCATCTCGGTTACAAAATGGACTTGTGTATAAGTTCAGTGAGTCAGCATTTAACTTTATCCAACGCTTGATTCTACCTGGTGAATCTGAGTTTTAGAACAAATGTCAGACTGTAAGAGTAGTGGTGCAGGGTGAGTGGCTTACGGGGACTTTTAAGCCAGGTTTACCTCAGTTCTTGGTTTCTGAGCTTGCTCAAAATTTCAGTTTAATGAGGCGTTAGTCAAACTAATGTTTGAGAGGCACTTCACTGAAGTGTGAAAGCTTTGAGGAGCGGGCTGTCCCTGTCCACACCCATACTAAACATCTATTGTATAGGAGTAGCCTCCAAGGTACATCAATGTGGCTGTTTGATCATAGAGAGGGGTTTTTTTTGTATCCATTCTGAATGAAACATAAAATGTTGGTCTTCTCTTTAGTAGAGATGAAGATGACATAAATGATGTGACTTCTATGGCTGGGGTCAATCTTAACGAGGAGAACGCGTGCATTTTGGCAACAAACTCTGAGCTCATTGGTACAGTGATCCGCTCTTGTGCAGATGAACCTTTTCTCTCCTCGGAAGCACTTCAGAAGAAGATCTTGAACATAGGTGAGAACAAAGATTGTGTAACAGATATGTATAGATGTAGTATTTCTTTGCATGTTTCATCAGTCAGGCTTCAATCTTTGAAGAAGGAGCTGAAACTATTAAGATCTGCCATCTCAATTCACATGTTTCTGTCAAGCTATACTAAGTTTTTACTTCCCATTCTAGGAACAGCTGTTCTCTAAGTTTTTTTCACATGGAAATAGTCTGAAGCACAACCAGAAAAAGGAAATTGATGCCACTTTTACATGGGAGAACTGAGCAACTTTAAGAGTAATAAAGTTGATGGAACACATAACCATATAGATGCTAGTATCAAATCAAACACTTAAGCGAGTTTTTCTATTTCTGCAGCTCCTAACTTGATGGATTACACTGACTTTCCTAACAGCTTTTGCATCCCTCAGCCTGTTCAGATCTATGTACTCTGTTGACCAACAATGCAGATCCTGCCTATGAGATTAAGAGCAAGTTTCAAACTGCCAATATCCACAGGGCAGACCTTTGTTTGACTCCCTTTATGGGAAAATCTTTCATTAATTTTATGCAAAAGAGATGATAAAGCTGTATGTATCAGTGAATAGTACTGTGGAATGCATGTTGAAGGGCTGAGACTAAACTGTAATAGGAAGTTTCTAGTGTGTGGATCATCTCAGCTGTTAGTTTCTGAGCAAAACAATAACTGTTGCTTAGCAATGTTGTACTACATCAGAGCAGGGAGCATGCGTTTGTATAGCACCGCCCTGACTGGTGCCACTGCTCTCTACAGCAAACTGAATGAACATTGCTCAGCTCCTTGCTCCTGCTTTCTGCCTGGTACCTTGCCATAACGGAACAGTGGGTTTTACAGCTGAGCGTTCAGGAGAGCCTGCAGTTCCTGTGTGCAGCCATGATTCTGTCACTGTAGTTTAACTACATGATTGCAAAGTCTTTCTACATGTAACTTGTTCTTAGGCCGAACTAAGCAGCTAGCCTGTGATGAGCACATAACCTGCAGATGCTATCTGCTACCTCAGTACATCCCTCTCCAGTTAGCCAGATGTGCCATCTGAGCTGTATGGGGCATATTTGAGTGAAGTAAGTGTTGTGCTACCAGTGGAAAAGGGAAAAACAGGAAAAATTGGAACTGGTGCATAGTAGCTTTTCTCAAAATTCAGTAGAGAGTTAACCAGTCATCTGTGGGAAGCAGATACAATGAAAAATAAAGAGCTCTACAAAAACATAAAAAGAAAGTACTTCTAGAGTAGTTGTCTAGTTTGGCATTTGAAGACACAGTTCATTGAAAGATGGAAAATACAAGCCGGTTGGTTTCATGGCTGGGATGGTAGCTGTTCCTCATTAATAACAATAATAATAATTAATGTCATAAATGAAAAGGTTTTTTTGCAAGGAAAGGAGTACTGTCAGGGAGTACAGCAATTCAGAAAATCAACACTTCTGCTCTTGAATGAAGCCCTCTTTAGTATAGGAAGTGTGTGTGTGTGTGTGTGGAGGGACATCTTGAGGCTTGAGGGGGATTTTGTTTTGTATTTAAGTTGACGTTTCAGTATTCTGATAGTACAGTGGGGAACTGCTGAGGAAGTGTTGAAAGGTGTTTGAGCAAAATGAGCTTTGCACTCAGCTAAGGTACAAGCCAATGCTTACTGGCCAAGATCAAACAGTGGGAATACTTTGCTCATATCTGGGAAAACATTGTAGATTCTCCCTGTCTTGTGAGGTTGCTATTAATTTTCAGTTAGAGTAGCAAAGGCAAATGAAATAGGTGATTAGGTTTTTTACAGTGTACTGTTTATCCATTCTTAGCACTTCACTTGACAATAAATACAGAAATGGGTTTTGAAGGTGTGCTGTATATTGCATCATAAAGTATTACAGCTGCTGTAAATGCAGTGAGGGGCAAGGAAAAGCACTTCTGACAGGTATGGCATATGAAGCGTGTGAAACTGCTGCCTGCTGTGCCTACCAGGGAAAAGTTGCTGCCATCCAGGTGTCTTGATGGAGTTGTGTTCAGTGATGGATGGTGTCAACCACGAGAAAGCTTCTCTGTCGGCGCCTGCAGCCACAGGAAGGTTGCAGAGGTGACGCCCAGCTCTAGGCATGAGGCTGGGACAGCTTTGCCCAGAGCTGTCGCCAGCCTTGGTCGCAGCTGCTGAAACGCAGAGAGACAGCAGCAGCTCGAGAGAAAAGGTTGAAGGTGATGGCATGATGACCCTGGCTGGGCTTGATCCGTGTTGTCCGAGCTGCTGCCATGGGATGGTTGGGTCTGTCTGCCCTGTGCTAGTTGGTTGAGGCAGGCGAGAGGGTCCCATGTGCCCAGAGTGTGCTGCAAAAACCATCCTCTCTCATCAAATAAATGTCATGAGTTGTTAACAAGCACAGTGTCAAGCAGGGCAAAATGTAATTCTCTATTTTTTTAATTACTGGAATTAACAGAATATGGCACTAATTTCTACAGCTACCGCTTCTCCCCCTCCCTGAACATGAAGCTTGATTTGTGTTCTTATTAACTTTGTCCTATAAATGACCTTGCAAGGAGAGTGGTTCTGGAGGCTAAGTGAAACAATGTCTATATTTTCTGAAGCTTCAGGCTAAGTTTTATTAATGTAATGTCTAAGATCTTTGAAGTTGTGACTTTACCAGGAAAATCATAATCTCCAAACCTTTATTCATAATGGGTATGACTTCCAGGGGGAACAGAATACCTGCTGTGCTAATTATTTCAATTATCAGCTACTACTAAAACACGTAATGGATTTTCTCTGCTTCCACAGGTAAAAGGCATGACATTATGGAACTTAACTCTGATGTTGTGAACTTGATCTCCCACGCTACACAGGAGAGATTACGAGGGCTCATAGAGAAACTAACTGTAATTGCTCAGCACAGAGTATCAACCCACAAGGTAAAGGAAATCATTAAGCAAGTTTTGCACCAAAGTTTTCCTGCTTTGCAGCCTTGAAGGTAAAGTATAGGCATTTCATATGCAATATGTGCATTTTCAGTATCTACCAAAGGCTGGTTTTGTTTTAACTGTTTATAGCCTCTAACTATTCCTTATGTTTTCCATGTGACTTGTTGGATAGGTGCTCTTAAAATCCAGCTTAAGAGTAAATGCACGTGTTTCTCCTCTTCCATAGAAGTGGTGGCTGTTATACAAAATCTGCCTTGCATGGTAGATGTAAAGCTATTTTTGAATGCTCTTGGTGGTCGGGTTGATTTTAGGGGCTTGTGTTTGCTTTATGCATTTACTGTTTGTGAAACTGCTGTATTGGCTCAGTAAAAAGCCTTGGGAAAGTGAATTGAGTTTTTTATTTTTTAAGAAGTGCTCCATTTGAGGGTGGATCTTAGTTTCCAGAACTTTTTTTCTGCCAGTGCTACTTAAGATTCCCTTCACTCCCTCTTGTATTGGCTCCATTCAATATAAAGTATTTTGGGTTCCGGTAAGCCAGTATCCCTTAAGATGCTTGTATGGTACAAATGGAAAGCAACTACTTACTAGTGGCCAAAATAGCTCTTTGAGGCTTTTTTTTTTTTTCCATTCAGTAATAAAATATTAGTCCTTACTTTTTTCATTATTAAGCTACTTTAGAAAAAAGTTGCAAGTTAGAAGCAGATGTATCTGTCAGCTCTTAAGTTCTTGTTTGTTTGTTTTTTACAGGAACTTTATACTTGATGAAACTTAACAAGAGCAACTGACTGATGGGACAGGAGTTATTTTTGTACTGAACACTTTTTATAGGCTTTTAAGCACTGGAGAAGCAATAATAAAGAGCAGGAACTATTTGGAAACTTCCAAGTAGTTATAGTGATGTCTGGAGCAGTTTGGAGTATGCTGTTCTTTGCCAGAAGAAGATACAGTTGGAAAAAAAGTCAATGCAGAAAAAGTACAGAGTTTTTTGAGAAGTCTGTAGAAATCCACACATGCTCTGTGTTGTCTCTCCAAAGTGGGAGATCAATAGAGTTTGTGAGTGATGGCAAGGTGGAAGCTGAAGTCTGGAGTAACCAGTAGGATTCATTGTCTAGCAAACACCAAGGACACAAGGGAATGTTTTGGGATGGTGGGCTTGATAGGGCTGATTTCTTTCTCATTGAACTAAAGCAATAGAAAAACTGATAGATTTTTGTCTGCTTGAATTGCTAGAAGCAATGATAAGATTGTAAGACTGCAGTAAGTTTGCTTTCTTTTCCTCTTTTCTCAAAAACAAACCGGCCAACTAACCGAAAAAGTACTGGTCATAATAATCCTAGAGGCACAGCTGTCCCTCTTTCCTTAGGAAGGTGATGTTACACTACAGAGGAATGTCCTACAGGATTGTGTATGTGAGTAAAATTATTGTGAGAGATGCTGACAGGGTTTTAGAAGTCTAAGTTCAAGAACAGAATCCTACAGGGTTTTAGAGCCCAGTTATGTATTTATGTACATATTTACACAGCCCTGCATTCCATCTCCCCCAGTGCTTGCCCCTGTCCTCTTTTCCCTCTAGGCTATCGATAGGTACCAGTGTGCAATGTGAGCTCCACATATTTTGGAGAGTTATCCTGAGCCTTTCCAAGAGAACTGGGTAGTTGCCCTGTAAGACTTCGTATTGGCCTATCTTAATGACAAAAAGACAGACAGTAATAGGGGTAGTTGTGGCAAAACCAAGGTAACAATTGTTAGGGTAGAAGTTGGTGTAAAAAGCCAATAATTCATGGGATCATATTCTAGAAACTCTCCTTCCTAGTTTGTTCAGTGCATGCCTAGCAGCTTACATCTGATGGGTAGCCCTGAAGAGAGAGAGAGAGGGAGAGTTGCCAGGGTAAAAGCTTGCTACAATATCACCATGTAGACTTGCTAACTTTTGCTGGTTTTGCTAAATTAAAACAAAAAAAAAAGTATATACTTGGAAGTTACTAACTTAATTAGGATAACACTAATGATTGCTTAGGTGATCTCTTTATTTGAAGTAGGAATAGCCTTTCAGATTGTTGCCCTCTGTGCGACTCTTGCAGTGCCTTTACAGAGCCTTGGTAAGACCATAAAGGCAATTAGCTAGCTGTTTTGGTTCCTTGGCTGCTTTCCTCTGGAGAACTGCTGAGGTGTAAGAGTGTCCATGTGACATAATATGATACACAAGACCAGAATTAATGACAACTAAACAGTACAGTGATTAAAAAACGTTTTTGATGTGGGTGGATTCAGCACAGCATGAGACAACTGCTGTGCTCTTGTGTTTGGAGCCCATGAGCACATGGCTTTGAGGGGCATGGTACAGTGCTGTGCTGTAAACATTGCTCCATGAAAACATTTTCCCCATGTGCAGTAGC